TAAAAGCGTCTTTAGAGAGTATTAAAGTTCATCTTTATCCGGGTATAGCCGATAATCTATCCGGGGTATGATCTACATTTTTTCCGGGGCATTATAACAACCAATCAAAACGAACTTCTTTAATGCTTCTGCAGATTACACCTGATTTTAAATTTTAATTGGTTACAATATTCTTTCACTATAGTGCTATAGCACTATAAATAAAATTTTAAAATTATTATAATTTTTTAATAATAAATTAATGATAAAAATTTTAAAATCTTAGTAGATTAATCATATAGTGCTGTACTATGATAGTAAATTATTTTGTATCTTATATAGAGATGTATCTTGCACATGATAAAACTAATATGTATTTTACAAATCATGTAATTTTGTGTAAAATGCAAGCTAATGTTATTCAAGATAGAATTTAAATCTAGTAATGATTCATATAAACAATTTATTGTAGATTTGTTATAGCAATAATAACTACTGTATTTCTCTGACATGTTATCTGGGTTATTTCACTAGTTCATATTATATATCTAGATACTTATATAGAGGGTATATTGTATAAATACTTTTATGTTTTTGGCATGTTTTGCTATTTCAATTAGTAAGATAAAATTCTAATATTATTACTTACAAAGACACTTTTCATTAAACAATTTGCTTTTATAGCATAAATATTACAGGAGAATTAAGAGTGAAGTAAATTGATTTTTTTATAATAAGTTAATATGAAACATCCCAAAATTTAATTATAAAAAAAATTATATATGATTATCACTATAGGATGCACCCAGTAGAGTATAGTTCTCCCTTCTATCTATTGCCATTTTGTCAGTGTTTCATTTTTATTCATATTTAAGTACATTATAGCTTTTATTTACATATCACTAGAAGTAAAAGAGATAGCAGCATTTTCTGGAACACAAATATTATTCAACATGTATTCATTTTATATATTTCATATATTTAATTTTTTTATACATTTGATTAATCAATTAATCACATAAAATTATATATATGATTAAGTGACCTATTTAATGATTAATAATCATATAATTATTTTTGAATTAATGTATTTGTAGCATGTTATAGTAACAACATTGCAATTAGCCAATAATAGTTAGAGTTAGAGTTTGGTTTATATGAATTTTTATTGGCTGTGCTAAATAAGTTGTTACAAATAAGCATGTAACATGTTGTTACAATTAAATACATCCATAAAAATTTATTATTTTAATCAAACTTCAGTTTACTATTTAATATTCAAACAAGATAAATTGAGTCTTATCTGATTATTTTTAGTCTTGTATCTATATTAGCAGATTGCAACTTATATAATCTTATTCATTTTTTTTAATATAATTATACCTCTATATAATCACCTCCTATATAATCACAAATTCTATATAATTATATAATTTATGCGATCATTTTTTAATAATAAAAATATCTTTATATAATTACAACTATAGTACTATCACTATTACATATTTTTAAAAAATTTTTTTTAATAAATTATTAATAAAAATACCTCTTTAAAATTACAAATTAATAAAAATTTTTATTTAAAATTTATATACAGATTTATAAAATTTTAAATAAAAAAATTTTTATTAAATTTAATCAAACAATTATTAAAATATTCTTGATATAAAGAATACTCTTTCTGTTCATCATTTATATACAAAATTTTGTCTAAAATATTTTTTATTTTTACAAAACTTTATTAAATTAACAACTTTTTAGCTCTTAAGTATATTTGTTCAGCTATTGTTTTTATATATACAGTCAACTCTCTCTAAATGCATATTCTCTAAATACATTTTCTTTCTAAATGCAGGTTTAAATTTGGGACCCACATATATATTTGATCTCTATAAATGCATTTTTCTTAATTGTTCTCTTAATGCATATTGTTAAAAGTCTGGTCCCAACACAATGCATTTAGAGTGAGTTGACTGTATTTGTAAAGTTTTAAGTCTCTATCTCTTACTGTTCTTGAGATATTTAATTTATAAAAATAGGTGAATAAAACTCTGTCTTCTCCCCAAAGCTTTGCTCTTCTTGACAAGCTAAGCTTATTAATATACTAATACTTCATAATTAAACTTGTAGAGCTCATCTCTAGCTTCAAAACAAGTTATAGTACACCAAATTTGACCTAAAATTGATCATTTTAGAACTTAAAACATCAAAACATTCTTTTTTACTCTCTAAACTCTTAAAAAGTTCTCTCCTAGTCTACTCTATCCAAATCATTTTTTGTGTAATATTCAGACCTGTATTTCCAACCTGTTTACACCTGTCCATATTAAAAACATAATCAAACCTTTTGTGGCAATCCATACTACAATTAATTTACACAAATAACTATTGCATTTATTATTTATTCTATAAGATATTTATAACTAATTATATTAAACTCAGTATTGACAGATTTTCTTAACTAATTAGATCTCATTAAAATAATAAATATGTGCAATTTTTAAGTAATAAATATTATATTAGTGTTAGGAATAAGTTTATGATTATATCAAATTTATTCTGTATGAAAATTTATTTTTTGATAATGTATAGTGGCTTCATATATGAAATTTTAGATTAAATTAACTTGATTTTGTATTTTAGTTGCTAACTATTCTATCAAAAATCCATATTTGTTCTGCTTATACATATTTTTATCAAGAGTAATCTATACCAATTATTGATGAATGATGAATTAATTTGTGATGATAAATGAAAATTAGTATTTAAAATTTTAAAATTTCATAATGAAACTTTTATTTAAAGGAGAGTTAGCCTCTGTAATTAGCATCATGTGACAAATAACTATAATGTAACACCAAATGCAAAGATGCTGTAATAGACTAGTAGCGATAGTAGCGATAGTACAGTCAGGGATTTTACCAAATTTGGGGATCGCTAAAGCCTTGTACCCCCCGTGACTTTCGAAGTTTTAATTGTAATTAGGGTTAGGGTTAGTTTATTGTTAAGGTATATAAGTAAAATTCCCTTCCCGACATTTTTTATTAATATACCAAGACAGGTTTAGACTGCCGTTTTTCATATTTTTTCGTTTTTTTGATTTTTTGATTTCTTCGGGCTGATCCGTGTAAACAAAATCTCTTGATTTTGATTGGTGATCTACATAGAAAAAGTCACGTTGGTACAAGGCTTTAGCGGATCTCAAATTAAGTCAAATTTGTAATTTTGGTGTAACAACAAATGCACATGCGTTTGGAGTGCCCTGATTTCCCCGCCACTTCTGATTGGCTGTACTAATTATTAATTTATCGGAGCTACGATGTAACGTAAAAGAAACGCAAAAAAAAAATGAAAAAATTAAAAATCTCCCATAACTCTAAATTCAATATATGAAACTGTCTTCTACGCACTAATAAAAAATTTTCCTTGTAAATTTTGGTATAAGAAACGTCTTATAATTATAATATAATGCCAAAATATTAATTCTACGTAGTCTACGGCGCGAATTTTTACTTGAAAAAGTTTTATATAAATACTCCAATAATTGAATATTAGTACAGCCAATCAGAAGTGGGTGGGGGAAATTAGTAAACCCATGCGTTTGTATAATTATTATATGATATGCTCCGAACTCATAATGCTATGCATTTTCCTAGCACTAGTTTATTTTGTTTTTAATTACTGTAGAACGCAAAAATTGATTTCCTACGTAGCAAGGTTGCGATCTACGCATAAAATTTTCCTTTTTCGGGTTTGTATCACATTCTAAAATAAGTGTATGCTAAACAAAAAACATATAATTGTTGAGTAATTCTCTTTAAATAGTTTTAAGATTATTAATAATTATCTCAATGTTTGAAAATTGGATTGAGAGTAAAATTAGCGAAGGAGAAGTCACAGAATATAAGTTTGAGGAATTTGAAAATTTTAAATGTATCGGTTCAGGGGCTTTTAGTAGAGTTTATAGGGCAATACAAAGAATACGTATGCATTAAAGAAAATTGAGCACACTCCACATATTAATAAAATGCTCGTGAATGAAGTGAGTAACATTATAACTTATATGACCATTAGATAAATGTTTATGCTAAAAATGCTCAACTATACGAGATGCAGTTAAAGCAAATGATCACTATGAAATTTCATAAGAATATAATTAAGTTTCATGGTATTACTAAATTCGAGGGTAAGTATATGTTTAGTAATCTTTGTTTCGTAAATAATAATGTTTTAACTATTAATTATATTCATTATGTAAAATAGATACAATGGATCCAGATAATATCCAATATGTATTTGTTCTTGAGTATGCAGATAGTGGAACTTTACGTGATTATCTGCACGAAAATGCAACTAAAATCGAATGGGAGTTAAAAATTCAATTTGCAATTCAACTTGTAGATGCCGTTAAATGGTTGCATAGTTATGATATTATTCATCGGGATCTGGTAAATATATAATAATTTAAGTTCTCAGTTTAATAAAATTGTGATGCTAATGAAGTCCTATGAATTTCCGTTTTTCAATTTGAAAGCACACCAATAATATACTTATTCATCAAGAAACCCTAAAATTAGCTGACTTTGGAATATCAAAGCATATCGCCGAAAATTTACAAACTACTACTACTACTAAAAGTAACATTTTTGGGATTGTATCATATATGGATCCTCAATGTTTTTCAACAAAAAGTCGCAGATATAGAATGAATAAGAAATCAGATATTTATAGCATTGGAGTTATCCTTTGGGAAATATCAAGTGAAAAACTGCCTTTTAAAGATTATGATCCAGCAACCCTACCACTTAGTATAAAAAACGGGTTAAGAGAGAACCCAATTGCTGGTACAAATCCCAAATTTGTTGCTATTTATCAAAGTATGTTTATAATATAATCTATAGTTTAAATTTTTTTGTCCTGTAGTCATTAATTCTTATTCGAATTTAACTAATTCAGAGTGTTGGCAAGGAAAGCCGGATAATCGACCATCTATTCAAGAAGTAGCTATGGAATTAAAAAATCTTGCTCAAGACGCTGGACTCAACAATAATTTTGATGTTTATGAAACAGTCTGCTCCAGTGTTATCGCAAGACAAGAACACGGACAACAGACAGGACGATCTGCGGACATGTCTCGCGAAATTCCGTTTGTTCTGGATGACATTATATGAGTGCTGCAAAATTAAAATATCGATATTACTTAATTTACTCACTGTATGTACGTACGTATGTACAATTAGGGTTTTGGTCGCTTTAACATAAAAAAGTATCATGTTCAATCATGAAATATCACATTTTTTCCGCATTGCACTGGTTATAAAATTATATTTTAACTAAATAATATCTTATAATATCTAGTACAAATAATAACTTAATTACTGGGCAATATATGTATTTTAATATTACTAGTAAGTATATTAAAATACATATATTACCCAGTAATTAAGTTATTATTTGTACTAGATATTATAAGATATTATTTAGTTAAATATAATTTTTTTTACCAGTGTTGGGTTTAGTGCAAAATCTCGACGTAAGGTTTAAATCCTGCGAATGTAATACAGAAGGTTATTATCCTGAGATCGATTGCCCGAAAACTAAATCAAACCTAATAATCGATAATAAATCAAAAAATTAGTTGCATAACTAAAAATTTTTACAAAAAATATTTTTAAACTTTGTCTAAAAGACTATATCGATATTTAATTGATTAAAAAATTCCTATAAAATACTGTATAATTTTATTTAAACTAGTAATAAAACGGCGGCGTTTCATAGGACTGGAACCTTACTGATGAGGTGCTTAAATTTGAAAAAGAAATTATATAAACTAACTTACTGTAAATTATCTATATGCATTTCATTGAATAAAAATTTCCTCACGTAATAGTTATATTCTGTACAGTTAAGGATAAGCGAGAACTTACTGATAAAGTATAACTACCGTATCGGCTGCCGACACATCAGTTATACACAATAACTTTTCGCTTGTACGCATCCAACTATACAGGGTGTAACTGTTCTTATTGTTAATTGTAAGTAATTAATATTCACGTGAACAAATTATGCTCCAATTTTTACTAATTAAACAGTTAACATAGAAAATTTTATGCAATAAGAATTTCTTTAACTTGATTGAGTTAAGAAAGTTCAGCAAGAATTTTTTTTTTAACATACCGTCATACTCAGCTGAAAACCTTTTCAGTATTAATTTTTCTTTATCGCATCTATTATATAATCCATCTTATATACTAATACAATGGTAAGAAAACACTCTTTACAAAAAGGGCAGAATTGCAGAAACTGCATTCTGAAATTTCTTTAAAGGATTACAATCGTTATCAAAAAGCTGGTTTGCAAATAGTAGTGGCAAGCTATTTTGGTTCTAAAATTTTTAGTTAAAAATAATGATTATATTTATGTAATTTGCGATTTTTATCATTAAATTCGGTAATATATATAATTCATTACTTGTGTTTATTTTCTTAACAATATGGGGTGCGTCAAACCAAAACACGGCTTATGGCATTTTTTGCAAAAATGAGTTAACCATGCAGTCGTATAAAGTAGACACTCTTCTAGATAATTTGATATTTAAAATTTACATAATAAAATTTTTGTCAATGTCTTCTTTTTTAAATTTTGTATAGCTAAAGCGGAGCGAGTTTTTGATGATCGATAAATGATCAACCAATCAAATTGTGAAATTTTGGAAGCGAAAAAAGAGAAACCGCGAAAATACAAGAAACTGTAGTTAAAACCTACTTTGGTACATTAATAAAAAATGCCGGGAAGGCAATTTTACCTATAATCCCTCTTAAATATAACATCAAAATGGCTCTAACCCTAACCTTAATATTAAATAAATGTTAAATTAAATAAATTCTCAAAACTTACTCCACTTTAGCTGAAGTAGGAACGTAGATTATTACACAATTGATTAAAGATCTTTTTTTATATGTTTTACAATATTTTTTTTAAAAGCTCAGGCAGATTATCTTTTTTATGAAACATAGTAGATTATTAAAAACTTGAAGTTTTTATCTTGTCCTTACAACATATTTATTTAATCCATTTTAATCCAATAACTTTCATATTACATTTTACCAGTCAAAGTTATAAGCAATTAACTACTGCTACATTAACAAAATCTCATTTGTTGAAAAAAAAAAATGAAGAAAAAACTTAAAATAATGATTAACAATGATAGTATAAAAGAAAGGAATAGTTTGTCAAAAAATTCTCAACAACCACCTGACCAATTTTGATAAATTTTTTTTATTAAAATTCTACGAGTCTGTAAAATTCAAATAAAAAAAATTTATTGAAATTGGTTAGGTGGTTATTGAGATACCTTCAATCAAAGTTAGAAAAAATTTTGTCACAGTTTATTATTTTAATAAATGTTTAAACTTTGATCGAAAGTATCTCAACAACCACCTAACCAAATTCAATGAATTTTTTTTATTAGAATTCTATGAGTCTGTAGAATTCAAATAAAAAAAAATCATCAAAATTTGTCAAGTGGATACTGAGATATCTTTAATCAAAGTTAGAGAAAATTTTGCTGCGGCTCTTATTTTAATAGATATTTAGATTTTTTAAAAAACTTTAATCAAAAGTATCTTGACAACAACTTAACAAAATTTAATAAAAATTTTTTATTAGAATTCTATAAGTCTGTAGAATTCAAATTTATTGAATTTGGTCAGGTGGTCATTGAGATACCTTTGATCAAAGATTTAAAAAAATTTAAATATCTATTAAAATAATATAGCAAAATTTTTTCTAACTTTAATTAAAGGTATCTCAATAACCACCTGGCCAATTTTGATGAATTTTTTTTATTTAAATTCTATAGACTTGTAGAATTTTAATAAAAAAAATTTTATTAAATTTTGTCAGATAGTCATCGAGATACTTTCAATTAAAGTTTTAAAAAAAGTGATCTGTATAGGTGTAAAAATATAAAAAAAGAAGTGCGAAATTATCATTTGCCTTTTTTTATCATATGTGTTATATAGAAATCTTTTAAAAAACTAAAAATATATAAACAATATTAATTAACTTGTAATTTGTCTGAAGCAAAGCATAGAACTCATATTTTTATATTACTAGCACAAATTTGTCTATCTGTTTATCTATATGCTAATAATATATCAGTATTAGATGATATATATAAAGTATACCATGTATTATATATACTAATTTGTCTATTATTCACACTATTATACTGCTATCATGTGATAACGCAATAGCATACCATGTGATTGTCCATATTAGAGAACTACTCCAAGAGCACCACCAATTTTTTTCGGTAACACAAAATTCTATTGGCCGAAATGTAGTACAAATTTTAT